CCCTCGCCCCCCCCCAAAAAAAAGAAAGAAATCTACTCCTGAGATAACAGCATTAATTATTCTTTTTTTTCTTGAACCTTAGTGGATTTTCTTAAGTATCCCACTTGGGAGACAACTGCTTTAGCTCATTTTTTTATAACTAGCCTAGCACTTAATCCTATAAAAGACATAACTAAGCACTTGACTATATGCCATCAAATGTTGAATGCTGATCTTTAAAAAATTGTATAATCCTGGGGCTGGCAGGTGGTATGGTGGTTAAGAGCACTAGACTCCCACATGATGGACCGTGGTTCAAGTCTTGGATCTGGCAGCTTGCTTTCTCACTTTCCCTCTCTCTCTTTCTAGCTCTGTCCCTCTGTGGTCAAATTAAATGAGATAAATAAATAAATAAATAAATGTAAATACATTCTTAACTTCTTAACATTTGTATAATTCTATTTGGGGCTGTTGGGATGAAATGAATATACAGAGTGTATAATTTGCAGTGTTCTATTTCTAAAATGATATATAATTCTCTTACAAAATTAACTTTCCTGAAGCAAAGCTCTTACATTTGTTTATCACCCTTATTGTATAACAATGCCAAGCACATAAATTATCTAGTTATTATTACTTAACTGAGGTCAGGTTCCCAATTATTACCATGACCCATGAATCTTGTTTTTTTTTTTTTTCCCTTTGTATACCTTACAGTTCTCCTCCTCTCTGGGCCCTCCAGAGTCACCCTTAATGCTCTGTTCATGGTAATGTAGGCTTCTTCTAGCCTCCTTTCTCCAAATTCTTCTAGCCTCTACCCTGTTTTCCAGTTCCAAAGCCATGTCCACATTTTCAGGTATTTGTTGTAGCAACATTCCACTTCTCCTGTACTGATTTTCTGTTTTAGTTTGTTCGTGTTTCTTTTTAAAAATATTTGCCAGGGCGCATTTTCATAGTGAGAGAGGAGAGAGGAAAGAAGGGAGGTGGGAGAGAGAGAGAGAAAGATATATAGAGAGAAGCCTTCTGGGAGAATGGTCATGCCATAATCCTGTCTCTTCCATTTCTCTATCCTGTTGGGATTTGGGACACACATGCATAAGCCCCTGGTGTATTTTTCACGCCACTGGGTCTGGAACTCAGACCACATAGTTGGCCACATGGATCCAGTGCCCCTAACCATGGGTTGGCCCAGTCTGTTCGTGTTTCTGTAACAGATTACCAAAGACTGAGCAATTCAGAAACAAAATAATTTTATTTTTCACAATTCTAAAGGATGGGAAGTCTGAGATCAAGGAGCTGGCATTTTTGTCAAACTCATCCTTTTATAAGAAATCTACTCCCGTGACCAGCAGTTAGCATAATGGCTATGTTGCTGAACTCCCACGTAGTCGACTGCGGTTCGCGTCCTGGACCTGGTGGCTTAAAACTCACGCCGGGCGCGTGTGCGTGCGTGCCCAAGATCCCAAGAGGAGAATGGAGGAGAAGGGATT